TTATTGTCAGGAATTGGAAGGACCTAATTGGGTCGGGCGATTCATCGGTTACCATAATGATCTCTTTCAGTTTGGCTCTCGATATGAGAATGATGATAAAGCGCGGAGTCTTGTTGACCACAACCGACCGCTTGTCACCATTACTGCTTTCAACAACGCCATAATGATCCGATCTGATTACAGCATAGTCAGTTGAAATTTCCGTAGCTGGACAGATGATAACAGATTGATGTGCGACGCCTAGTGTCAATGCCTATGAATCAGACCATGCCTATAGTTGCATACGCCAAGGCAAGAAAGAGCCCAAATGTGTCAAAATCTTGTCTGAGATGTGACAACGTAGTTCAGATAATCATCCTGCTAAAAGGTAGAAGGCATGGCGTCAAACGAGCCTCAAAACAGAATTAGTTTTCCAGTCGAAAGTAGGGCCATAGAAGTCTTTATTCATTAAAACGCCCACGTATTAAGTCCAGAGATAGGTCATTCTTGGGTCCGGTCAAACTTTGACTGTGTTTAACACGCACAAATAGCAGCGTACCGCTAACTGAATTAAATGATAGAGTTAAAGTTTCGGGCTTTAACTTTAAGACGCGCCTTACCAAGCCAGTCATAAATTAATTTGATCTTCGGACAGCTGCAAGCAAAAGAATGAAATGTAGGGAAGACTTATTCATGGAAAGTGAGGACAGAAAGAAAGACACGCAAACAAAAAGAAAACCTAAAAAACAGCAATATATATTAATAGTTATGCATATCCCTCGCAGTATTCCGAAAGCCAAAAATCCCTTAAATTCTCCTGTACATCCCAGATACTCATGGTCATTCTTTGGTTCAATTCTATTTAAGTAGAAACGCCGAGAAAAAACTGAACCCACGTATATGTATCTCGAGAAATAAGGAGCACAAGTGAAGTGCTACCTATTGGCCAGAAGCTCGCGAGTGTGATATTAAACTGGTTAAGTCGGAATCTCTCACCGTAACATATACGGGCAATCAACGTTAATTATTCGTACATGCACACAATGAACACGGCATGTGCTGACGAGTGTTTAAGTGCTAATCACAGTTGCGGCTAATAATAAATGAATAATTGAAATTTAAAATTATTCAAAAAAAATATATTTCAAAGAAGTCCAAAATTTAATAAAATCCATGGTATGTGTGCAAACAGGAGAACGAAGTATTCCGGCGTATTGCGAAATATCAAACTAAGCTCCTTCAATTGGGCCCAGTAAAAGCTGAGAGATATGGTGATATTTGTCCAGAGTTAACAAATGTATATATTTTAAAACTTTAAAGAAGTCACACCCCATTACTTTGGTATAACATAGTTTTCTTCCTAAAGGGCAGTTAATGTCTAGCTATACAAGCTCATAAAACCCATCCGCCTCTGGTACATAAGCCATTTTACAAATCACGTGATTCCTGTTCCCGAGAAGCCCGAACATGCCCGTATGCAGCCTCTAGGATAGCCAACTGCTAGTCCATATGAAAGCGATTTCAGAACCTTGATTCCCCATGATCCTGAGTCTGGAGCCTGGTCAGAAAAGTAGTGGACACGCTATCAAACCTTGAGTACCGAAGTCAAGAAACGTCCGCAAATTCCAACATCAAATACCAATGGTTTGTTCCCGATCATGTAATCCAGTTTGCATTCGATTAGTCCACCCCGTTTGGACCAGAGTTACGATGTGTCATGCCTCGGCAACGCTGTAGCATGAGACGTTAGATCAGAATCAGTCATTTTTCATGAGGTTTTCGGACATTTTGAGTACATGATGTCCTCCAACAGCTGCTCGATGTCGTGTCCCTTATCGTTGTGGTCCAAGAACATACCCACAAAGCAATAGTCACGAGCATACTTGTTTAGTGGTGGTTCACTGCCAGCATGTTGCTATGTCATCATCAATCTTTGCGGTATTTCGAAAGGCATTCTGCGTGCCAGACCTCAGTCTCTCGGCGTCGTGATAGCACTCGTATTTGGTCCGTAATTACATGTTTTTCAGCCCCGAGTGCCTACTTTTCGCAAGGCTAACCTTCGATGAAGGCCATATTTGGTACCCATAGGCGTGTCGGTCAAACAACATTTGGACTACCCTGTGAATCCATATACCCTCTAGCAGAGGTGTCTCCATTTTAGCCAGACGTACATAAAGTTCATATAACTTATAATACTTATTCTGAGTCTTTGCTTCAGCTAAGCCAAATTCCGACCCTTCAGAGTCCATTTAAGATTTTAAAATCGCATTTGAGGACCAGCCCCATAAACCGACCTCTTTTTGCTCAACAGGTCATCAGTGCACGAGGTAGATTACCGTAGGATGTAGTCATAGCCTTCACGTGCTCAGTTATTAGGAACCGCATCGACTTCCATAGAAATCGATCTGTCATTTAGGAACC